TACACTTTGTTTCATTACATGGTTGCAATCCCCTCCATGTGCCAACAGTTTACAGCATTTATCTCTGTTCACTTTAAATGGAGTCCTGGTGTGGTGCTATGGGTTAATGTGCCAGACTGCAAAGCCTTTTGAACTGCAAGGTCAACAGTTCAAGCTCACCAGCCTACTCCATGGAAACCCTATACAGGGTCGCTATGGGTCGGAACCGACTCGACAGCACTTCACAACACAACACAACAACTTTAACTATTGCACTCCTTGCTGTGTTTCCTCTGCTAACCACCTTTTTGTTGTATATTGCCTGCCCTGTCACCCATGTTAACATGTGTTTACCGTCTAGCTCATAAATAATTTTCCCTCCCTGTCCCCCTACCATAACGATCATAGATTGTTTCTTGTATTAAAAAAACAGTTTTTAAACTTTTTACATTGTTTTCATACAATGCTTGTCCTTTTGTGATTGACTAATTTCACTCAGCATAATGTCTCCAGGTTCAACCATGTTGTGAGGTGCTTCACAGATTCAACATTATTCTTCAACATTTTGTAGTATTCCATGGTATATATTAGGAGCTCTGGTAGCGTACGGGTCACGAATTGGGCTGCGAAAGCAAGGTCAGCAATTCAAAACCACCAGCTGTTCACGGGAGAAAGATGAGCCTTTCTGCTCCTGTAAAGATTTACAGCCTTGGAAACCCTGTACAGGGTCGCTATGAGTCGGAACCGACTCCACGGCACACAGCCACCACCATGGTATGTATGTATGTACCAGTTTGTTTAGCCATTCTTCTGTTGATGGGCATTTAGGCTGTCTCCATCTTTTTTATGTGTCTCTTATAGACAGCATATTGAAGGATCCTATTTTCTTATCCCTTCTGCCCGTTATGTCTCTTGACTGGTATATTTAATCCATTTACATTCACAAGGTCAGCAGTTCAAAATCCACCAGGTGCTTCTCGGAAACCCTATACCAGGTAGTTGTGACTCAGAACAGACTCAATGGTGCTTAACAACAATAAATGAATTGATGGTTGTTTCATTCTGTTGTACATAGGATCAGTATGAGTTGGAATGGACTGTATAGCACTTAACATCAGCAACAACAATGGGCAAATTAGCCCTGGTGGGATGTTGTAGGGGGAACACTGGACTGGTAACTGCAAACCTACCAGTTGCTCTCAGAAACCCTATGCAAGTTGCTTTAAGTCAGAACTGCCTCAATGGTACACAGCAGCAACATCAACAGCATGCCCAAAATATTGAATGATGCATTTGTGTACATCCCCACCCCACCCCCCAAAAATAACAGAGGGAATAGAAGCAAATACTATTGAATGATGATGCACAGACGAGATTGTAATCATTGCAATGGAACAATGAGCATAAACCCGATGTTCTCGCATGTGAACTATCACTCAAGTCACAATAAAAACTTTTTTTAAAAAAGAAAGAAATGGAAGGAATTTATAGAGTCATTGTACCAAAAGAATTGGTATCATTCAACCATTTCAGGAGGTAGCATGTGATCAAGAACCAAAGGAAACAAAGCCAAGCTACACTGAAGGCATTGGTGAAAAGCAAGACTTCAGGAACTGATGGAATACACATTTAAATGTTTCCACAAACTGATGCAGTGCCTGGAGGTGAGCACTCATCTGGACCAAGAAATTTGGAAGACAGTTATCTGGCCAACTGATTGGAAGAGATCCATATTTGTGCCCATTCCAATGAAAGGTGACTCAATGAAATGTGGAAGTCATCAAACAATATCATTCATATCACATACAAGCAAATTTTTGCTGAAGATAATTCAAAAATGACTGCAGCAGTACATCAACAGGGAGCTGCCAGAAATTCAAGTTGGATTCAGAAGACATGGAATGAGGGATATCATTACTGACATCAGATGGATCTTGGCTGAAAGCAGAAAATACCAGAAAGATGTTTACTTGTGTTTTATTGACTATGTGGATCATAACAAATTAAGAACAACATTGAAAAGAATGGGAATTCCAGAACACTTAATTGTACTCACGAGGAATCCATGCATAGATCAAGAAGCATTCATTCAAACAGAGCAAGGTGATAGTGAATGGTTTAATATCAGGAAAGGTGTGCATCAGGGTTGTTTCCCTTCACCATTCTTATTCAGCCTGTATGTTGAGCAAATAATCTGGGAAACTGGATTATATGAAAAAGAACATGGTATCCTTAACACCCTGTGAATTGTAGATGACACACCTTGTTTGCTGAAAGTGAAGAAGACTTGAAGTACTTCCTGATGAAGATCAAAGAATACAGCCTTCAGCATGGATTATACGTCATTGTAAAGAAAACAAAAATCCTCACAATGAAACCAATAAATAACTTCATGTTAAATGGAGAAAATATTGAAGTTGTCAAATATTTCATTTTGCTTGAATCAACATTCATGCAAGTAACAGTTAAGAAATCAAATGATGTATTTCATTAGGAAAATCTGCTGCAAAAGACCTGTTTAAAAAGTTAAAAAGTAAAGATGTAAATTTGAAGACTGAGGTACACTTGACCCAAGCCATGGTATTTTCATTAGCTTCATATGCATGTGAAAGTTGGACAATGATTAAGGAAGACCATAGAAAAATTGATGCATTTGAATTATAGTGTTGGCAAAGAATATTGTAAGGACTACTGACTGCTAGAAGAACAAATAACTCTGTCTTGGAAGAAGTCCAGCCAGAATCCTCCTTGGAAGTGATGATGACAAGATTCTGTGTCATATACTTTGGACATGTTATCAGCGGGGACCAGTCCCTGGAAAAGGATATCATACTTGGAAAAGTGGAGGGTTCATGAAAAAGAAGAAGTCCCCCATCAAGATGGATTGACACACTGTTTACAACAACGGGCTCAGACATGACAACAATTATGAGGATGGTGCAGGACCAGGCACTGTTTCACTCTGATGTGCATAGTAGCATCAGGACCAACTCAACGGCGGCACCTAATAACATATGGAATCAAACTGACAACAGCAACTCTAAAGATTCCATAGGAAGCCTAGAGGACAGCGAGTTACTGTTAACTCAGAAAAGGAGGGAGAGAATGGTTGCACATTTTGAATGTCACTGAATTGTACATGGAGAAACTGTTGAACAGCAGCCAAACCAGATGAGGTCAGTAATGCCTTATCCCATCTTCAAAGTGAGGAGACAGAAGGGCAAACAAGCTAAGTGACTTGCTCATAGTCACACAGCTCCCTTGAGTGGTCACCCACCATTGGGAGAAGCAGGCACAGACACACACACACATATGATCACAGCTTAAAGGGCTAAGGCAAGCCTGGACAGACACCAGAGCTATGTCAAAGTGCCACAATAAATGGGTGGGCCCCCTCTGGGAATGTGGGACTGAGCCTGGGTGAGGATCTTTGCCCCAGGAGGAAGGACCACTGCTCAGGGTTGAGGAGGATGCTGGGAAGTTAGGACCTGGGTCTCTGACCTTGTACCAAACATAGGAATCACCCCTTCAGGTCTGGCAAGGTCTATACCCTCCCCCATAAGTGACTCAGAGAGAACTGCATCTCTTAAAAGGCTGACAGGGATAAAGGGGCAAGTCGGGCCGAGTGTGTGCTCTGAATCTCTCTGGACTCCCTGAGCTATGTGACCTTAGAAAAACCCACAGTTCACCTAAACATGAACATCACAATTGCTTCTTTATAGAGATGTTGTGCAGATTCATGGGCCAACATGACAGAGTGTTTGACAGTAGCAGACCCTCAAGAAATGGTCCTTTGCATTTCCTTCACCAGGGTCATAAGAGAAATCAGAAGTAGAACCGCTGCAAAAAAAAAAAAAAGCTGGGACTGGAACCCAGGATGCCTAGAACTAAGATCCAGGCTTCTCTCCAGAGGTGACACATTCTACTGGTCCCTGCAGGTACTCACTCCTCCATCCAGTCCCTTTCTGGTCCAGACCTGTATTGGGCCTGTGGATGCCGGAACAACTTAAATGGTGCCTGTGTTTCAGACTCAGTCCAGCTAGAGAGGCAGGAAAGGTGCACTAAGTGTTACCTCCTGTCAATCTAGCAAACTTGGCTTATCTGGCAAGCTCAAATGTCACTTCCTTCTGGGAGCCTTCCTTAACCTAAGAGACTACCCTCCAAGCACTCAGCCACCTGCCTCTGAGTCCAACTGTGCAGACCTGGGGATAACCTGGATCCTCTTACATCACAACCATCAGGACCCAAGATGCAGGCAAGGGTGGAAGTTAAGAGAACACGTTTTAGAGCCCAAATATCTGGCTTTGAATTCTGGATCTGCTGCTTACTAGTTGTGTGATATGGGAAGGCTATTTAAATGGATGCCTCAGTTTCTTTTTCTGTAAAACAAGGGATTTTATAGTGCCTGCCTGGTAGGATTTCTGTGAGAATTTAATGAACTAATATGTGGGTAACTCTTAGAACCTGAAAGAGAGTAGGTACTCAGTTACATTAGCTATTCATATTGGTCAGTCTCCCCTTCTGGGTCTGTTTTATTAACTTTCCTGACTCAACTCATCATTATTCATGTCTCTTCAGCCCCTGCTCCCACACACAGTCAGCTTAGATGTCACCTCCTCCAGGAAGCCCTCCCAGATGGCACCCCAAGTCTCCCCCGCTAAACCTAGTCTAGACTTCTCCCATCATCACTCTACAACAAACCAGGTCATGATTGGGGTGTCCTCTGTCTCTCCTGCCACATCAAGAATTCCTTGAGTACAGAAGAGAGTCAATATTTATTATCTGGGGGTTCTTGAACCCCCAATATTTATTATCTTGGTGGAATGGGATGAATGGGTGGAGAGAAGAGAAAGAGAAGGAGGGAGGCAGACCTACAAAGTCTTCATATTCAGGAGAAATCATACTTGTGGGAAGTCTTTGTAAACTGTAGCATAGTGTTCACAAGAAGACATGGTTATGCTTTAAGACTGAGGCCTGTGCTTTAAGGAGCCCCACCCCGTGCCCAGTGGCCTGGTGGGTACCTCCACGAAGAAGGCAGTGGCGGTGATCTTGTGCTTCTCGTCACCTCGCTCCAGGAGTGGGATGAGCAGGTAGAGGATGCGGCACAGCTCCTGGCAGGAATAGTG